GTGAGTAGTGAGTAGTGAGTAGTGAATAGTGGCCAGTGGGGAGTGGTTAGTGGGTAGCGAGTAGTGAGTAGCGAGTACAGAGTAGCGAGTAGTGAGTAGTGAGTAGCGAGTAGGGCTGTGTGAGCAGTCAGTAGTGAGGAGGGAGTAGTCAGTAGTGAGTAGTGAGTAGGGACTAGTGAGTAGCGAGTAGGGAGTAGCGCGTATTGAGTAGTGAGTATTGGGTAGTGAGTAGTGAGTAGTGAGTAGTGAGTAGTGAGAAGTGAGAAGTTGGTAGTGAGTAGTGGGTAATGCGTAGGGAGTAGCGAGTAGAGTTGTGATTAGTGAGTAGGGAACCGTGAGATTTAAGTAGTGGATACTGAGTAGTGAGTAGTGAGTAGTGACTTGTGACTAGTGAGTAGGGAGTAGGGAGTAGTGAGTAGTGAATCGTGAGTAGTGAGTAGGGCGTAGTGGGTCGTGAATATTGCGTATGGGGTAGCGAGTAGCGAGGTGGGAGTAGCGAGTAGTGAATAGTGAGTAGTGAGCAGTGAGTTCTGTTTAAGGAGTAGGGAGTAGCAATTAGCGAGCAGTGGATCGTGAGTAGTGAGTTGTGGGCAGAGAGTAGTGAGTAGTGAAATGGGAATATTCAGTAGTGAGTAGAGGATAGTGGTTCGTGGGTAGTGAGGAATGATTCATGAGTAGTGAGTAGTGGGTAGTGGGTAGTGAGTAGTGTTTAGTGTGTAGTGAGTGTTGAGTAGTGGGTAGTGAGTAATGAGTAGTGCGTAGTGAGTTGGGGGTAGTGAGTAGTGATTAATGAGTAGCGAGTACCGGGTAGTGGGTCGTGAGTAGTGGTAGTGAGTAGTGAGTAGTGGGTAGTGAACAGTGAGTAGTGAGAAGTGAATAGTGAGTAGCGAGTAGTGAGTATTGGGGAGTGAGTAGTGAGTCATGAGTACTGATTGGGGCTAAGGTTAGGGTTTGGGGTTCGGGTTACGAGTGGTCGGGGTGGTCGTGTTAGGGGTGGTCGGGGTCGGGTTCCTGATCCCGGGGGCGCCGTGGCGAACGAAAGGGGGGGAGGGGGGGGGGTCCAATTTGGCGGCCAAAGGGGGGGAGAGGGGGGGGGCGTCCCCGACGACGGATGGGGAAAGGGGGGCGGAGGGGGGGGGGTCCCCGACGACGGACCGGGAAAAGGGGGGGAGGGGGGGTGTTCCCCGACGACCGACCGGGGAAAAGGGGGGGGGAGGGGTCCCCTCCCCTGGGGGCATCCAGCGACGCGCTCTCTAAGTTTCGCCTCTCGCGGATAGAAACAGGATGTGACGGAGGAATATATGAGGGAAGAAAGGAGGAGGGGGAGGAGGAGGAGGAGGAGGAGGAGGAGGAGGAGGACGAGGAGGAGGAGGAGGAGGAGGAATAATCATAATAAGAGTACGGATGTTAATAATAATTTCATTAAGAAGAACAGTAGTATTAATAATACGAAGAATAAGATTAACACGAATACGAAGACGACTAATATAAAAAGGGAAAACACCAATGACAAAACGACAAGTAATTTGAAGGAGAACAATACGAAACGGTTTAATAATACTAGTATTAGTAATAGTAAAAAATACTATCGTACTAAGAAGACGCATTTAAGACAATGAGAGGGGTAATAACAATACGAATACTGATACTAGTACGAATAACAATATTAATATTGTGAACACTAATAAGACTGATAATGCGAATACTGGTACTACTGATACTAGTACTACTACTAATAATAATAGTCGTACTATTAATACTACTCATCATATTACTAGTAGTATGGATAGAACTATTAACACTATTAACACCGATAATAATAGAAATAATAATATGTCAGTACATTATTAGTATTACCAATGCTACTAAAGCGAATGATAATAGTATTAGTACTACTAACCGCAACATTGATACTATCCACAACAATAGTAATCATAAAAGAATCATATTCGCAATACTACTAACATTGATATTCGTATCCATGACAGTAATACTATTCATACGGTTAGTAATATCAGTGTTTATAGTAATCACACGACTAATACACATACTTGTAGTACTACAAGTCATAGTATTCATAATAATAGTTATAGTAATACCACTAATACTACTACGAATAATAATAGTAACACTACTAATAATAACAACATCATTATTCATACTCGTAATACTAGTAATACAAATAATAAATGATGTTATTATTAGTATTATCATTATTATTGTTATTATTACTACTAATACTAACAACAATAATAGTAGCAATAATAATAGTAGTCATAGTCATAGTAATAATGCTATTAGTAATAGTACTAATAGTAACACTTATATTACTACTAATACTCGTAGTAACAATAATAATACTAATACTAATTACGCTACCGAGGAACCCCACATACTTAATTCAAGTCTTATGTGCTTGCTTATGCATATACAACTTATTTATTTATTTATATATATATTTATTATATATATATATATATAATATATATATATATATATAGGTATATATATATATATATATATATATGCACAATCCTGCGTTCTGAGCCCTCGTCGCGAATCTTCCCTATGGGTCATCCAACGCCACATTGCTTGACCCTCCTCCCTCTTCCCAGCCTTCTATCCTCCATCGAGGACAGATTCGAGCTAAGCGACCACCCCCTGCGCAGTGTGTTGAGAAAGTGCCACGCCTGCTAGGCTTTGCGCCAGTGTCGTGGATAGCGACCGAGCTGAGAGACCACCCCCTGCGCACCCCCTGTGGTGTCGAGAAAGTGCCACGCCTGCTAGCCTTTGCGCCAGTGTCGTGGATAGCGGCCGAGCTGAGAGACCACCCCCTGCCGCACCCCCTGTGGTGTCGAGAAAGTGCCACGCCTGCTAGGCTTTGCGCCAGTGTCGTGGATAGCGGCCGAGCTGAGAGACCACCCCCTGCGCACCCCCTGTGGTGTCGAGAAAGTGCCACGCCTGCTAGGCTTTGCGCCAGTGTCGTGGATAGCGGCCGAGCTGAGAGACCACCCCCTGCGCACCCCCTGTGGTGTCGAGAAAGTGCCACGCCTGCTAGCCTTTTGCGCCAGTGTCGTGGATAGCGGCCGAGCTGAGGGACCACCCCCTGCCCACCCCCTGTGGTGTCGAGAAAGTGCCACGCCTGCTAGCTTTGCGCCAGTGTCGTGGATAGGGCCGCTGAGAGACCACCCCCTGCGCACCCCCTGGTGTCGAGAAAGTGCCACGCCTGCTAGCCTTTGCGCCAGTGTCGTGGATAGCGGCCGAGCTGAGAGACCACCCCCTGCCCACCCCCTGTGGTGTCGAGAAAGTGCCACGCCTGCTAGGCTTTGCGCCAGTGTCGTGGATAGCGGAGCCGAGCTGAGAGACCACCCCCTGCGCACCCCCTGTGGTGTCGAGAAAGTGCCACGCCTGCTAGGCTTTGCGCCAGTGTCGTGGATAGCGGCCGAGCTGAGAGACCACCCCCTGCGCACCCCCTGTGGTGTCGAGAAAGTGCCACGCCTGCTAGGCTTTGCGCCAGTGTCGTGGATAGCGGCCGAACTGAGAGACCACCCCCTGCGCACCCCCTGTGGTGTCGAGAAAGTGCCACGCCTGCTAGGCTTTGCGCCAGTGTCGTGGATAGCGGCCGAGCTGAGAGACCACCCCCTGCCACCCCCTGTGGTGTCGAGAGAGTGCCACGCCTGCTAGGCTTTGCGCCAGTGTCGTGGATAGCGGCCGAGCTGAGAGACCACCCCCTGCGCACCCCCTGTGGTGTCGAGAAAGTGCCACGCCTGCTAGCCTTTGCGCCAGTGTCGTGGATAGCGGCCGAGCTGAGAGACCACCCCCTGCGCACCCCCTGTGGTGTCGAGAAAGTGCCACGCCTGCTAGGCTTTGCGCCAGTGTCGTGGATAGCGGCCGAGCTGAGAGACCACCCCCTGCCCACCCCCTGTGGTGTCGAGAAAGTGCCACGCCTGCTAGGCTTTGCGCCAGTGTCGTGGATAGCGGCCGAGCTGAGAGACCACCCCCTGCGCACCCCCTGTGGTGTCGAGAAAGTGCCACGCCTGCTAGGCTTTGCGCCAGTGTCGTGGATAGCGGCCGAGCTGAGAGACCACCCCCTGCGCACCCCCTGTGGTGTCGAGAAAGTGCCACGCCTGCTAGGCTTTGCGCCAGTGTCGTGGATAGCGGCCGAGCTGAGAGACCACCCCCTGCGCACCCCCTGTGGTGTCGAGAAAGTGCCACGCCTGCTAGCCTTTGCGCCAGTGTCGTGGATAGCGGCCGAGCTGAGAGACCACCCCCTGCGCACCCCCTGTGGTGTCGAGAAAGTGCCACGCCTGCTAGGCTTTGCGCCAATGTCGTGGATAGCGACCGAGCTGAGAGACCACCCCCTGCGCACCCCCTGTGGTGTCGAGAAAGTGCCACGAGCTGTGCTGTGCTGTGCTGAGCTGAGCCGTGCTCGGCTGTGCTGAGCTGTGCTGAGCTGAGCCGAGCTGTGCTGAGGTGAGTTGAGCTGAGCTGAGCAGTGCTGTGACGAGGGGGGTAAGAGTCAAATGTGTGTGTGTGTGCGTGAGTGAGGGGAGGAAGAAAGAGAGAGGAGGGGAGGTGTGAGGAGACGCGGGTGCGGCGCGGCAGGGAAGAAAACTAACACCCCACGAAGCATGTGGGGAATATTATTATTATTATTATTATTATTACTATTATTATTATTATTATTAATAATCACAATGATAATACTTACAATAATAACCTCTAATACAAATAATGCTACTGATATTGATAATAATATTACTAATAATCATAATGCCACTAGTGTTGCAAAGGAAGAGGAGGAGGAGGAGGAGGAGGAGGAGAGAGGAGGAGGAGGAGGAGGAGGAGGAGAGGAGGGAGGAGAGGAGGAGGAGGAGGAGGAGGAGGAGGAGGAGGAGGACGAGGAGGAGGAGGAGGAGGAGAGGAGGAGGAGGGGAGGAGGAGGAGGAGGAGGAGGAATTGGAGGAGGACAATCGCTGTGGCGGCAACGGGCCCGTCAGGCCGTGTCCAACTTCAGGACATCGGGAGACACAGCCTGGAGCAAGGACATCGTGGCGCGCGCTGCCGAGGCCAGCTTTCTTCTTGCCACCGAAGGGAACCGAGGGGGCGAGCTTGAGATCTTCAAATTGACGGGACAGCGAGGAGGAGGAACAGAAGGAAAAGGAGGATGAAAAGGCGGAGGAGTATGAGAAGGATAGAGAAGGGATCGTGGGGAAAGAGAGGCACGTAGAGATAGTCGAGGAAGAGCATGGGGGGAAATTCGAGCAAGAAGGGAGAGGATACAGAGAGAGAGGGAGAGAGAGAGAGAGAGAGAGAGAGAGAGAGAGAGAGAGAGAGAAAGAGGGAAAGAGAGGGAGAGAGAGAGAGAGAGAGAGAGAGAGAGAGAGAGAAAGAGAAAAGGGGGATATACATAATATAAATACCGGGTCCCGCACCTCGCCGCCACATTTCGGGGACGCTCCCGGTACTGGTCCCCCGGCTATTCCGGGGAGCCTCCACAGCGCCCCAGGAGGGCCCAAGACGCTTCCCAGGAGCCCCCCGAATGCGAAAGGATGGTCAAGAGAGTTCCGAGAGGCGTCCAGGGACGGCCTCAGGAGGCCAAAGTCGTCGATTTTTTTTGTTTATTTGTTTGTTTGTTTGTTTGTTATGTTTTTGGCTTCTCGCGTATTCGAGCTTCCAATGGTCCAAGAGCGCCGAAGAGGCTCCCAAAACCGCCCCAAGACCACCCAAGAGACCCTCAGGACAGAAGGCTCCAAGACTGCCGAAGAGGCGCCCAGGATAGCCCCAGACCACCCCAGAACAGGCCCAAGATGGGCCCAAGAGCGGGATCAGGAGGCTTCCAGAGACCTCCGAGAGGCCTCTGGGAACCCCCAGAGGCCCCCAACACCCCCGATCCCTGAGAGGCCCCAAAAGACCCCGACGAGGCTCCAGGAACAGCCCAAGAGAGCTACGATAGCCGTCCCGAGAGAGCCCAAAGAGGGTAAAATCGTTGATTTCCAATGGTTTTCCAACGTTTTTCGTCTTCTCACGTTTTCCTGCTTCCAACCCTCGAAGATCGAAGATTTTGGAAAAAAAGGAAATTCCCAAATGAACAGTTACCCTGGCGACGTACCCAACCCCTGCGTAATGCGGGGCATGAGTAGCTTGGGAGACGTTATACGGAGGTGATGACGTGACATGGGCGCATATACTTCTGCGAGCGGCATTCGTGAGGCTCGCAGCCCCCCAAGGATTGCGATGTCCCGCTCAGATCTGCCTGGTGCCTCGCTCCGCTGGACCCACCAGCAACCCTCGAAAGCGACAGTTTCGCAGATCGAGGTCCCCCAGGGACGGCGAGGTCCCGCTCAGATCCGCGCGGTGCCTCACTCCGTAGGACCCACCAGCAGCCCTCGAACGTGGCGACAGTTTCGCAGATCGCAGCCCCCCAGGGAAGGCGAGGTCCCGTTCAGATCCGCGCGTTGCTTTACTCCGCAGGACCCACCAGCAGCCCTCGAAAGTGACGACAGTTTCGCAGATCGCAGTCCCCATCGTCGGCGAAGAGAGGGCAGGAGGAGGGAGGAGGCGGGAGGGGGGCGGGAGGCGGAAGAAGGGACGCGACCACAGTGCTCTATTCAATACGAATACCCAACCAAGGAGGGTTGGGAAAAAGAAAGTGGAACTCCTACTCGGGGGGGTCCTACACATCCCCTGACATCTGGACGGTACCGCGCCTCCCGGCTTCTTGTGGAGACCCCAAGACGCCGAAGGACAGCCCATGACGACCCCAAGAAGCCCCCAGAACGTAAATAATGGCCCAAGACGCTATCGCGCAGCCCGAGACACCCTTTCCGACGGCTCTCCAGGCCTCCAGGAGGCCTCCACAACCCCCAGGGGGTCCGGAAGATCCCACTCCCCTGAGGGGCCCGGCTAACAAAACCCGCGAGGCACAAACAAAAAACAGCGCCGAACAGCGCCGAGAATTTGGAAAAACATGGGAATCCCACAGTTCCTTTCTTCCTCAAAGTTTGGCCCCCGGTCTACTCTTGCACAACAGACCACAATTCAGACCCCCTTCACCTCCCAAAAAAGAACCCAGGAAGCCTTGGAGGGCCCCAAATCGTAGAATACCTAGAGGAAGTTAGTGATTTCAGCGTTTCGCATTTCCACTTCTATACGATTCCGAGGCTTGCGCAGGGCCTCAAAGGGAGTCCCTGGACGCAAGAATCGATTAAGATGATATTACATGCGTTAGCCTATCAAGCCTAGCTAGAACTTGAGCGCGCGCGAAGCGCGCGCGATGGTTCTAAAAACAGTCCAAGACGCTCTCCACGCTCCCAGGAGGCCTCCAAAAGGCCCCAAGAGAGGTCCGAGAGGCGTCCCGGGAAATCCCGAAGAGGCCCAAATCGTAGATATTGTTTGTTTTTATGTATGTTTTTGGCCTTCTCGCGTTTTCTAGCTTCCAACGGTCCAAGTCCGCCTCAAGACCGCCCAAAAGATTCCCAGGACGGGTCCAAGACGGGCCAAGAAACCTTCAACATTGCCGAAGAGACGCCCAGTACCGCGCCCCCCGGCCTCCCGGGGAGCTCCCAAAACGCTCCAGGACGCCCCAAGACAGCCCCGAGAACCCCTCATAATGCAAAAGAACAGCCGAAGATGCTCTCAAGCAGTCCAAAACAGTCTGTGGACGGCTCTCCAGACTCCCAGGAGGCCTCCAGACGCCTCCAAAACACTGCAGGGGAACTCCGAGAGACGTCCAGAGAGAGCCTGGAGAGCAACAAAATCATTGAATTTGATGTATTTCCAGAATTATTTGATTGTCTAAATTTTTCATGCTTCCAACGCTCAGAGACGACCGAAGAGACTCCCAAGACCGTCCCAAGACCGCCTAACAGCCTCCCAAGACAAGCTCAAGGCGGGCCTAGGACGGGCCCTCTGCCACAATGCCCCCTGGCCATCTCAGAGACCGACCCAAGCAGCCCCGCTTGGAAGCATTCTTCAGCCACTCTGGAGCTATCGTTGTGGCTCAAAGGGCCCATTCTTGAGCCCTCTCTTCGGGGCTCCTTGGGTCCTCCCCCGAGTTCTCTGTCGCCTTCTCGATGGCCGACCCAAGGAGCCCCGCATGGAGGTTCTCATGGAAGATCGAGGATTGAAACTTAGCCTGGCGAAGGACCCAACCATATGCAGCTGTGAATCCCGCAATTCTGAGTATCATCTTCGCCCGCGCTCCCTATGGGGCCACGAACCGTGTGAGGGGCGTGCCGACATGCGTGGCGGGGCACACAACGCGAGCGAAGACGATTGGTCTGTGTGCGAGAGACTGAGAGCGAGTGAGTTTGATTGTGGATGAGTTTGCGCGCGCGTGAGTCTATGTGCGTAAATGTCGACGCCCATGTTGGCGCGCCTCTCACGAGGATCGCGGCCGCTTCTTTCCCGTTCTTCTTCTCCCTCTTTGCCCGTGCGCGCCCACGTCCAAGGCTGCGGGCGCGGCGCCGCACGGAGTCTCCACTACGCTCGCTGTTCGCCCCGAAGGGGTCCCGGCGACGCGCGCGGGTCGTCCGCTGCGCGGAGCAGAGAGAGCGAGCAGGCTGGCTCCCGCCAGGGATGCGCGGCCCGACAGCGGCCTCAATACGTCGAATACGACGAAAAACTTCCAGAAATTGAAATTCGCCGCCATGCGAACTCCGCCAGTGGGCCGCCATGCGAGTTCCGCCACGGAGACCTTCGGTGGAGCCCCCTATGGGGCCATGGAGCGCTGTACTGGGTGTTGGGTGACGCATGCGGGCGGTCCCACTGGGGCCTTCGGTGGAGTTCTCTTTTGGGCCATGAAGCGCTGTACTGGGTAGTGGGTGACGCATGCGGGCGGTCCCACTGGGGCCTTCGGTGGAGCTCCCTATGGGGCCACGAAATGCTGCGCTGGGTGGTGGATGACGCGGGCGGTCCCACTGGGGCCTTCGGTGGATCTCTATGGGGCCACGAAGCGTTGTACTGGGTGGTGGATGACGCATGCGGGCGGTCCCACTGGGGCTTTCGGTGGAGCTCCCTGTGGGGTCACGAAACGTTGTGTTGGGTGAGGGATGACGCATGCGGGCGGTCCCACTGGAGCCTTCGGTGGAGCTCCCTGTGGGGATGCGAAACAGTGTATTGGGTGGTGGATGACGCACGCGGGCAGTCCCATTGGGGCCTTCGGTGGAGCTTCCTATGGGGCCACGAAAAGCTGTACTGGGTGGTGGATGACGCATGCGGGCGGTCCCACTTTTTTTCGGCAACCCGAGCGACCTTCTCGAGGCGATGCTGCAAACCACGAGCGCTGTCCGGTAGCTTGCATTCAGCGGACAAGCCTCTGTGCTTGCCTCCGATCATTCTCGCATAGCAATGACAGCGCGTGCAAATTCGATATCCAGGGATGGTAGTGAGAACGTAGTCGCCGCTCGCCACTCCTGGAACCCGCGTGCCATCACCTGCAGACGACGACGCGGCGAGGGGGCCAGAGGGACAAACGAGGGCCCCCGACCGAGACCGATCGGGCGAGCCCGAGCGGCGAGACGAAACGTCACAAATTTGCGAGGCGACCAGACTGCTGGCCTCACCGCTAAAACTGGACGAAGCGGCGGGCGCACTCGCGCCGCCGTGGGCCCCCCCCGGGGCTTTTGCAGCGGGGCTTGGGGGAGGAGACCAGAGGAGCCCTGAGGTGAGCAGCGAGGCAGGACCATCCACAAAGCTCGCGCCGCCGGCTGAACCCAGGCCGCACGGGGTTCCTGCAGCGGGGCCCACAGGAGCGCGCGAACACGGTCCAACAGGGGCTTCTGCAGCGGGGCCTACAGGAGCCCCACTCACACAGGCAGCAACTCTTTCAGCCGATGCCGAGCGCGCAGACCCGCTCGAGCTTCCTCCAGAAGCTGCCGACAACAGGTAGTCGATCTTCTGCTGGGCTGTCTTGAGATCCTTAGCCTTCTGCAGCCTCAGCCTCTGTCGCCCCCTCCTCGGCCTGCGCCATCGCGGCGATGGCCGCCGCCGCTGTGGCCGCCGTCGCCAAGGCTGCTCGAGCAGGTCTCCTCTTCGAAGTACTGCCAGAGTGCGACGGGGCATGCGG